ATCAAACTAACTCACCACAAACATACACAGATATTACAGGCAAATATTTCATGTTTTGAAGAACTCTGAAACAAACCTGACTTAACTCGTGATCCTAATTAACTTCCAGACTATTTCATGTAGTATATTATTTGTTTTTAAATTCGATGACGAGGAACCCACTTTGAGACTAATAATGGCTGGAGACGGCTTGAATGATGACAAAACCTTGTCGAAACGTTGTACATTTGCTGTTATGTTAAACTTATATTAAAGTTTTTCTTCATTACCCATTCAAGCCGTCTCCAGCCATTATATTATTTGTTTATTTTGTAAACATATATTTGACCCCCTAGTGGCTCATCGGCAAGTCTGAAATTTTATAACGCTAAAAACCTCGTTTCGATAACCGTGATGGGCAGAGCACAGATAACCCATTATGTAGCTTCGTACTTAACAAAAACAAATAGAGATTATATTCCTAGTTGTACCTGCCCCCTAGTGGCACAGCGGTAAGTCTGTGGACTTATAATGCTAGAAACCGGGTTGCAATACCCATGGTGGGCAGAGGACAACTAATCCATTGTGCAGCTTTGCGCTTAACTACAAACAAACAAACTTTATTGTACCAAGTTTGTAAAATGCAAGACGTCTTTTTCAGTAGTCTTAATATCCTGTTAAATTATCTTCATATTATACGTAGCACCATCTAGTGTTCAAAGGGTGAGTTATTTTGTTAATTTTCTCATTATACGAGTTTGTAACAAAAAGAAGACGTTTTCAAATCAACATTTCCTCTTAAATTACACGTAACCTTTTAAATATCGGTGTGTCAGACTTTGTAGAAGACTTGAATAGTAAATTGTAACATAACAATTATTCATAAATTCAATTCAAAATAAAAGTTTACAAGTAACATTGATCTATCAAAATATTTAGCATATTTCTGAAAGAAAAGCTTCAGTTGAATTGTTTATGTTTTGGAAAATCGCACAAAGCCACATAAGGATTATCTGAGCTAGCCCTTATTTTGAATTGATGCAGTAAAGGAAACCAGCTGGTCAACAGCACTCATGGCTACTCCTTTACCAACCAATTAGTGGGATTGACCGTCACATTATAACGCCCCCACGGCTGAAAGGACGAGCATGTTTGGTGGGACGGGGATTCGAACCTGCGACTCTCAGATTGCGAGTCGAGCGCCCTAACTACCTGGCCATGCCGGGCCTATTCTAATTCAACAGTGGGGGGTTTTACTGTCCCTCTTATAGTTCATAGTTCGCTTTTGTTGTAATGGGATTCGAACTACAGATTTTCACAGTCTGGATCGCTAACCCTAAGCCGTGTCGTCTGGTTGAAGAAATGGTAATTACAATTGAAGAAGTATTAAATAACTATTATATATATTGGATAAGTACATTTAAATATACTTTTTATTACTATTATGTTTAATTTATACTTCCATTTAACAATTTAATTAATTTTACTAATTTATCGATTCACCGATTCTTCTATTAATCTTTAAAGGTTTGTTTTTTTAACTCAATCTAAAAGTGTCTTCCGGTAGCTCAGCGGTAAGTTTGTTTTATTTTTGAATTCTGCAAAGCTGCACGAGAGCTATCTATGCTAGCCGTCCAAAATTTAGCAATGACAGACTAGAGAGAACACAACTAGTCAACACCACCACCCGCCAACTCTTGTGCTATTCGTTTACCGATGAATAGTGGAATTGACCGTCACATATTAACGACCCCACGGTTAAAAGGGCGAGCATGATCGATTTGACGGGGATTCAAATCCGGGACCCACAGTTTGAGAGTCGAGCGCCCTAACCACCAGGCCCTCCTAGCTATGCTTGAGGAGTTAAACACTACAAATTGGAGTTCGATACCTGTGGTAGGCACAGCGCAGATAGCCTATTGTGTAGCCTTGCACTTGAATATAGACAGTCTAAAAATATGTTAAATTAAATGAAGATTGTAATTATGTAGTCACAAGTTTTATAGTTTATGTATAACGTAAATAAGATTAAATCCTTTTTTACAAATATACAACTACTGTACTAGCTAGTAACTATAAATGTAATTATTGAAATAAAATAGATTAAACACTTAGAATAGTTAATTTCTTTCATCATATTGTTACGACAGTGAAAGTCACGCGACGCTGGAGTTTCTAGAAGGATCATAACTTATCGACGTACCTCGCGAATATCAGAGTGTTTGCCAGGCGCCCTCTTTTTTTAGTATATAAGCCCGGCAAATAAAGCCAGCAATAGAGAGATATGCAGATAGATTGAAGATAGAGATAACTGAGTCAAGTGAACAGTAGGCACCGTTAGTAAAGTGTGTGAATCACTGAGATTTATAGC